GGGGCCAATGGGGGCCCAGCCATGGGGGGACGCCACCAGGAGGGACCAACATGGGGGGCCACGAGGGGGGCAGCATGGGAGGGCCCATGGGAGGCGCCACACACGGGAGGGACCAACATGGGGGGGCGCCGAGGAGGGCCACACATGGGAGGGCGCCACGGGAGGGAGGGACCAGCATGGGGCCGGGGAGGGCCCACATGGGGGGCCACACACGGGAGGGACCAACATGGGGGGGACCAACATGAGGGCACACGGGGGACCTGGGAGGGAGGGCACTGCATGGGAGGGCGCCAAGCCACGGGAGGGACTACACCAGCAGGCCGGGGAGGGGGGGGGGAGGCCACACCGGGGAGGAGGAGGAGGGATCCACCGCCAGAGAGAGGGAGGAGGGGGGGGGGGGGGGGGGATCTTGGGATGGCCACGGCCACGGGCCGGGTGACGGCGGCCGACGGCGGGGTGGCCTGGTGGGGGTGGGGCAAGGAGTTTGGGGAGGGAGGGCGGGCCGAGCGATAAGAGGCGACGCTTTTTTTTTTTTATTTTTTTCCCTTTGCCGATCGCCAGCATGTGACGCAATTTTAAGAAGGTCTATTATTTTTTTCAAAAATTATTTTTTTAATTTTTTAAAAATACTTTGCCGATCGCTCTCTCCTGGCGGTCGGCAAAGGGTTATTTTTGATTTTTTCTCGAGAAAATTCTTTGTTGACCGCCATCCTCCCCGGCGTTTAAGAAGGTTTTTTCGCTAATCAAGATCGATGGCGATCGACAAAAGAATTAATTTTTTTTTTTTCGATCCCGTTTTTTTTGTTGCCTTGCTACAGAGAAGTACATGATATATTCCAAGTTTGGGGTCATTTTGATTTATTTTGCTATATTCCATTGATTTTTTCTGCTTTTTGATTTTTTCCGTGACTCGATTTGAACTGCAGTACATGAAATAATGGAATCCGCGATTCGTAAAATGATATTCATGATGTTTGAGTATGTTGAGGCCGTGTCTTGGGGCCTCGCGTGAAATTTCGGCCGTGTTTGTGTTTAACACGCCAAGCCACGCCAAGCGTGAAAAGTGTTTTTAAATTTTATAAAATCGAAACGAGTCCTAAAATGACGAAACTTGACGACGTGTCTTGTCATCGCATGCGAGGCTGTGGTAAAAATTTGAGAAAGTTTCGAGCAAGTGGCGACGTCGGTGGCTAAAACTCGACATCTCCGTGGAGAAAATTTAAAAACACTTTTCACGCTGCGTTTCGGCGTGTTCCGACACCAACACGGTCGAATTTCACGCGAGGCCCACATTACACGGCCTCAACATGCTCCAAACATCATAAATATCATTTTCTCAATCGCGGATTCCATTATTTCATGTACCGCAGCTCAAATCAAGTCACGAAAAAATCAAAGAAATGTAAAAAATCTACTAATATAGCAAAATAAATCAAAATGATCCCAAACTTGGAATATATCATGTACTTACACTGTATCAAGGCAACACAAAAACCGGGATCGAAAATCAAAAAAAAAAAAATTTTTGCCGAACGCGCCGGAGGATGGCAGCTATAAAGCTCATTGCTTTTGCCGATCGGCCGACGAGTGGCAAATGGCAAAGGTGACGGTGTGGATGGCGTCAACCATGGTCCGCTTTTTGCCGATCGCAATTCTTTGCCAATCTGCACAGCGGTCGGCAAAGCCGAACGATCGGCAAAATCTCGCTTTGCCGATCGCAGAAATTCCAGCTTGGCAAAGGGACCTCTTTGCCGAGTGTCGAAAAAAACAGTTGGCAAAGAAAATTGCAGTCGGCAAAGAGCCAGTTTCCTGTAGTGTATAATCCATATGCATGGTTCATAATTCAGAAAAAATGCTAACTAATCTTTGAACTCTAACATGAATAGTAAAATAAAAAATGTTTGGGCGTAAGAAACCACAATCAAGGAATAGCCTATGGACATCAGACATTACCTGCACGGAAAATGAATTGTCGTTTGTATCTTTGTACTGGGAGGCAAATAGCGTAGAGGAGAGAGAGAGAGAGAGAGCCGGTAGAGCCGACAGTGCATCTGTGACCGTGGTGTGCTGGTGTATATATATCAACTGTTACATAAATGGAGAAGGCAAAGCAATGCATGGTTAATGCCTAGTTGAGCATTTTGGTTGGCCTTAATGGGTAGTGGGATCCGTTCCTGCAGGCCAAGGGACAGGGACTTGCCATTGCGAACGTTCCTGCAGGCCAAGGGGTGAGGATTGTCGTTCTGAACTTTTGAAGGACAAAGGGCGCTCAGCATTGCATGCATGCGTTGGTGTGTGGGCCATACAGCTGACGTGGCTCTCTAAAATCACAGAGAAATCTTTAGTGGGGGTCTCCTATTTAGGTATAGTAGATAGTAGATTGTTGTTACTGCTTTACTTCCTCCTCTGTCTATTTTTTAGCTTGTGATGGATATGAAGTTATGAACCAAAACCTTAATTGGAAGTCGGTCCAGCATTATGAGCCAAACCATCAGATTTTTTATTGTTAAAATATTCACTTACTTAATATCTATAAAACCAAGTGTTGCTTACCGTAGCTTAGTTTTGTGTTATGGCTGGTGCTAAAATATCATGAAAGATATTATTTCAATTTTGATGTTTTTGTGTTTGGGTATTTGTTCAGTTGGTTTGGAACAATTTACATAATTGGTGCAAATCCATGTTATTTAATTCCTCTGCAACCCTAAATATGGAAATAGTTCATGCAAAAGTATATTGCTTACTCTGCTTTCGACCATGCCGATGAGTAGATTAAGGTTTTATACAAACTATTACAAATTTCCAGATTGGTGGTATACTTGTATACATAGTACAAAGTACAAGTTTACCTCATTTGCTTATGTTTCCAATTTTACCACCGTCAATCTACCATTTACCTTTAGTAAAAAAAAAGTAGTGGACTAAGCTGGAAAGCAGTCACCTGTATTATCTCATGCGGGTATATATAAATTGTGGTACATATTTATGTTAATGCCTAATCAGTTAGTGTTGTGTGATATGCAGAAATACAGGCTCTATCTCAAACGGTTAAGTGCTGTGGCGTCACAACAAGCTAGCATTGTTGCCGCTTTTGGAGGTAGAGACCCCTCATTTCTTCACATGGGAGCCTTTGAAGGCCTTCAGAGTTATGAACCTTTTGCCCCCTGTTCTGTTCTATCATCCTTCAGCCCACATAGCCTGCTAGGGGATTTTTTATTTTTAATCGTTTTTTAATTAATATTTTAATAATAGCCATACCCAAAAAGATTAAGCAAAACTAACTCCTTTGGTCGCGCCACTCGCACTAGCGCGACAAGGGACGCCATGGTGGCGGCGACCGTTGACCCAAGCTGGCATGCCGTTTGATGGGGCCCATCCTATCGCACGAGCGACTCGAGTGCAACAAGGGGACATAGGGTTTCACGGGCCCGGCCCACTTTCTTTTATCTCTCTCCCTCTCCCTTCCTTCCGCATCCCACAAGCGCCTAGGAGACCTAGGCGCCACCGCCGCCTCCCCACGCCATGGCTGGCCGCCGCCGCCTCCCCCGCCGGCCGCGAGTGGGCCGCCCTGCTCCAGCCACCCTCCTACACGCTAGGTACAACTTCTTCCCCCTTGATTTCTTGATTTGGTGTCTTTAGCTCCATGACTAGGGTTACGAAATTTGGGATATTGTGAATGTGTCTTTGCATTTGTTGTTAGTATTAGATGCGTACATTAGGTTTAGGATATACTCTGCCCACGGATTTAACATAAACTACGTCTTGCATGAACCTAGGTAGTTGATAAATGAACGATTTGGATGGTTTGTGTGTTGCCTTTGTTGTCATCGCTGCGAAGGTTGTGATATGTTAGTGTAGCAGTGAATGCACGCGATTTGATTTGGAAATATGCAGTTGATGTAGGTGTTGATGTGTTGCTTCATATTTTGTTGATGGATCATTTAGTGCGATTGTTTTATGGTGGCAAAGTTAAGGGAAATGGGATGTTTGAAAGCATGAACGAACAACTTCAGTTCTTTAGTACACCTCCTAGTTTTGACGCTTTGCTTACCCAATGCTGGAGGAAATTTGGGTGGCCAATAAGTTTGAAAGGTCGATTTGGTTGTGGGAAGGAAAGAGCACACTATGTGTTAATGGCTTTGTCATGTGAGGAAGAATGGAAGAAATACAAAGAAGTTGTGAAGAGTAGTAGTGTTAGGTTCTTGGAAGTTGTTGTGGACAAGAGGTCTAACCCATTTGTGCTGTGTTTGGATGATAATGTGGATGTTGAGCCTGTAGAGAACCTTACTCAACACAAAGTGTTGCAGTCGGTTATTGTTAGGGAAGTTGATAGGTCCTTTGAGCTCGGTGCCTTGAATGATGACTTCAATGTAGAAACGCTTGTGAAAAACGATGGGAATGGGGATGGAACACATGATATTGACGACATACTCAAAGGATCGAAGGGTGACGAACTTGATGTTCTCTCTAGGGACGAATATGAGAATACTTTCTAGGCCAAGTAGCCCACAAAAGTACTTTAGTTAATTTCAAAAATTATAACATAGATGATGAATTAAGCGTGAAAACTACATGGGGCTCATGGCACAAGGATGGTACAACTACCATCAAAACAAATAATTCTTTGCGAGTTAATAGTACAATCGTATGCGCATACAAACATACACATACCCTATGCCCTTCCCTTCCTCTACTTTATTTATGGCTCACACCGACCTTGGTGATCAGTGTGTCCCTTTCTCGCTTTGGCGCTGCTCAGTGGCAATTGCTGCTGCCCTGTGCTCGTAGTCACTCACACTGCCCAGACCTGCTGCCAGAAGGAAAGGAGGATCCCGAGTAGACAATTGCACTGATCCCCTGGCCCCTGGGTATTATTAAGAGGAACGAGCGAGGAGCGAGGCTGAAATGAATTGCTGTGAGGCCGCGGGAGAGGATCGGAGGATCAGGCGAGGGTTGTGTTGTGCTGCGCTGCGCAGGCTCATTGCAGTCGGACGCGGGCGATGGGGCGATCGCCGTGCTGCGAGAAGGATGGGCTCAAGAAGGGGCCGTGGATGCCCGAGGAGGACCAGAAGCTGCTCGCCTACATTGAGCAGCACGGCCACGGCTGCTGGCGCTCGCTGCCCGCCAAAGCCGGTGAGCTAGCAAGCTAAGATACTGTAGTAATCATAGTCCTGCGAGCGTTCGGCTGCGCTATTTGGTTTCGCTGCTTGCTTAGTAACCGACACTGACATGCATGCGAATGGCCGTGGCAGGGCTGCAGCGGTGCCGCAAGAGCTGCTGCCTCCGTGATCGGCAGGTCAAGAACTCACTAGCATCCTAGTCTTGCACATTTACGATGATTAATTAGGGCTTTATTTGGCATAGCTTCACTAACAGCTTCATGAGCTGCTTTTTTTATCGAACGGTAATTTTCAAAATAGTTTAATAGGTGAAGCCCATTTTTTTTGTGCTATTACAAAGGGATGGGGTGAGATGAAGCTAAAAAAAACCGCTTCGTGGGCGTCATTGCCGCGTCGTGGTGCAGGCAGTGACGCTGCGCGAACCAAGCGCGGCCCCGCCGCAGCAAACGCGAGGGGCGCGAGCCACTGGGAGGGCGCCGCTGCGGGGCGCGAGCCTCTGCCTTGGGGCCGGGGCTCGTAGAGGCAAGGTTGCGGGCGTTGAGTCGATGCGGAAGAGAAATAGTGCGAAGAACATGAGAGAAAAATAGAGAAGAAAAAAGAAAGCTAAGGGTATTGTGCTAATTTTATTCTTTTAGCCATGCATGAAGCTATTGATGAGGCTGTTTTGCTGAACAGTTTTTCGAAAATAGCTCAGCTTCACAAAAAAAAAACTGCTTATGAAGCTAAACAGCTTTACTAGTGAAGATGAGTTATGTCAAACGGAGTCTAGGTAATGCATGAGCGTGTTCGTGTCTGTGCCAGCCTGCCAGGCCGCACTCGTGTTACTGTCTCGCACGACCCGATGCAAATTTAATTTGTCAACGCGCGCGATTGCTGAGAACTTTTTCATGGCGTCCGCCGTGCTTGCAGGTGGTCGGCGATCGCAACGCACCTCCCGAAGCGCAACGACAGCGAGATCTAGAACTACTGGAAAACGCACCTCAAGAAGCGGCTGGCCAAGACGGGCATCGACCCGGTCACGCACAGCCGCGCTCCGACGCGCTCGGGACAGGCGGAGGAGGGCCCGGCGGCGGTGCCGCGGGCGCGCAGCACGCCGAGGCGCGCGCGCGAGAGGCCAGGCGCCTGCGCGCGCTCGCTGTTTCCGCCTCCGCGTCCGTCTCGGCGCCGCCGCAGATGCCTGGACCCGCCGCGGCGCACCAGCTCGACGTCCATGTTGAGCTTCTCCGAGAGCACGGCGCAGGCCTCAGTCCTGGAGGCGCTCCGCGTCGATGTTGCGGCAGCGCGCGCCGCCATGCCGCCGGAGCCCATGCAGGCGCACGAGGAGGCGCGTAAGGATCATCTTCAGCAGCAGTGGGGAGATCACGTCGTTGATGTCGCTGACGCAGACATCGCCATGGCGGCGTTCGCGGGCATGCTTCTCGACGATTCCTTGATCCAGCAGCAGACGGAGGAGGAGAAGAAGTGGTAAACTCGACGTCACAGTCGTTGCAGACGTCAGTGGCGACGCCCGCGCTCCAGGCGTCCTCCTCGTCGGCGTCGTTGCAGACGTCAGTCGTCGCGATGCCGGCGCCCGAGGCGTACTCCTCGTCGGCCTCGTTCTCGACGTTAGTCGCTGACTGTGCCCGCGCCCGAGAGGCGTACTCCTTGTCGGCGTCGTTGCAGACGTCAGTCGCGATGCCGGCGCCTGAGGCGTACTCGTCGTCGGCCTCGTTGTCGACGTTAGTCGCTGACTGTGCCCGCGCCCGAGAGGCGTACTCCTCGTCGGCGTCGTTGCAGACGTTAGTCGCTGACTGTGCCCGCGCCCGAGTGGCGTACTCGTCGTCGCTCTCGTTCTCGACGTTCGTCGCTGATTGTGCCCGCGCCCGAGAGGCGTACTCGTCGTCGCTCTCCTTCTCGACGTTCGTCGCTGACTGTGCCCGCGCCCGAGGCCTAGCTACTCTCCGGTGCTGGACTCCTGACCCGTGAGCCCTGGACATGTTCCTGCAGCCCGCCCGGGAATTTAGAATCTCTTACTCGTTCATCAGTTGCCAAAGCTTCTTGTAGAACATGTTGCCAAAGCGACTCGTCTTGTCTTTGCTCTGTATGTAATTCGACAACCATTTTCATTAGCATGCAGTATATTGGAGCAGTGGAGCTAATCGAAATGAGAAGAACTCTTATTTCAGTTATTTGTTCTTTTTCATCTGAACCCATATATATTAGAATCCAACTGTTCAATTTTGTATGTTGTGGCACTATACTACTGATAATGGATGTACTTCGCACTGTATATTGGTCTTTGACACTTTTTTTTAGATTATTGGTCTTTGACTCTTTGTATTCTGTAATTCTTAAAAGAGGTCTGTTTTTTAGAACGCTGAAACAATGGAGCAGAGGATATGCCTGCATTTCGCCATCGATAGAGCCGTTGCAACACATTGGCCCGCTCTTCAAACAGGCCAAGCCCATGACAGGCTTGGTCCAAATTTTATCCAGCCCGCTCGGTTTTTCCCATTTGGAGTCGAGCCCACCAGCTCTGCTCAGTCGTCGGGAAGAGAAAAAGGGCAAGGAAGATAAGAAGGCCCTCGCGCAGGTTCGTTATTCCTCTTATCCGCGGAGAAAGAACCTTGGCCCGTCACCATGCTCCCAATGACCGTGCACCCCACGACCACGCCGCCCTTGTCCCCGCGCGCCCACGTCTCCCAAGAGCAAAAGGCGGCCACTTCGCTATTGTTAGCACCCAAAATTATCCAAAGTGCATAATGGACTCCATCATCATATTTCTATCATCAAGATAGCCACAAAACATACTTAGATTATCGCATTTGGAGCACGGGTGAAGAAAACGGCTTTTCGAGGGGGGTGGGGGGCTGACCTAGCCAGAATCCGCTTAGCCGACTCTTAAAGTCGGCTAAGCCGACTTTCTCAATTTTCTCAAATTAAAGAATGGACTGTACTATTGCGTTTCTCTCGTCAAGCTGATTGAAAAACATACATGGTTTGCCCCATTTAAAGTCCGGATGAATTAATTATGAATTTCGGAAGCTTTTTGCCTAGAGCCCGCAAAAGTCGGCTTGGTTGACTCTAGAACCGGCTTAACCGACTTTGGCAATCCCAGATCGGATCCAAAATGCGTTTTGACGTGTTTTGCAAGGGTTTTTGACCTCTTATGGGATAAGGCCGCCCTCACCTTATAAATATAAGGTGCACGGGCGATTGAGGTGCCCAACACACATAATCAATCAAATTACAATCAATTTTATTTTTCTTTTGCCCTAATCTCTTCCAACATCTATGTTGTTGTTCATCGCTTGATCTGACGACCAAGGATGGCGCCATGGGCTTGCTGGCCGACCTAGGGCAATCCGGCGACGTCCTTGCCCCCACGGGGTCCCTCCCGGGCGAGAGCTTCGACGATTCCTTTACTAGTTTGTCCAAAAACTAGTCGTTCTTCGTCACCGCAAGCACGATAGCTATCCTTTGATGGTTTGCTTGTAAACATCTATGTTCTTCACCACGTAAGTATGATCCTCGCTGTGTTCTTTGGTCCGTGGCGACCCGGGCGATCTAGCCCTAGCTGGTGTGTGAACCCGGATCAATTCAGCGTCAACACAATTTTTAGCGACTCCACTGGAGACAATTGCTCTGGCTCTACTTTGTAGCCAAATCTCTTAGCCCTAGCCCCACTCTTCATTGATGTATCTTCTTATGCTCGCCATTACTGTGGCATCTGGCCCAAAAGGCCGATCGCATCTGGTTTTGACCACTTGTGATCTCTCTTGCTATTTTGCAAAGTGTTGCTCTTGCTATTTAAAAATTCAGCAAGGTGGTCAATAAGGTGTTGCATCACAGTACTACTACAATTACCCCCCGAGGCACAACTTGCAAATATGTCTAGTTATTTTGCAAATTCTATGAATTCTCATATTGGTGTTGCTAATAGTAGATATATTGCATCGGACAATACCTATTTTGATAATGGTCCCCATCATATATATCATAATTCTTGATATTATGTTCAAGAGCTGATTGATGTCAACTATGAATTTGTCGAGTTTTAATGCTACTAGCAGCATGCAACATGCATATCCTTATTCATCGGCTATAAATTCAAGATATGTGGTTCCACCACAAGACATGCCGATAAATGAGAGAATTGACTATGGTGATGCTAGCTATTCAGCCGATTACTCTCAATTCTCATGTGATGCACAGTATGGTAATAGAGCAAAGGTTCTACCTATAAATTCAGCATTATATGCAAATGCTGGTGCTCATAATTTGGCCTCATATGTTACTAATAACTATGACCGAATTAATGAAATTTTAGCAAGGCATTGGAGTGCTAAAACTCATGATTCGGATTCACATGTTGCTCTTCAACAAGATATTCAAATACTAATATTCATTATTCGGCTTCACGTGTTACTAGTAACCATAGTTGAATCAATGAAAATTCAGCACCATGTGTAGATGTTAATATTCACAATTCAGCTTCATTTTTAAAAAGCCAAATTATTGAGACTTTAACAAACACGCCTACTCTCCCAGAGCATGGAAGCATTAAATGGCACATTTCTTTTAATGGATTATAGGTTGCTACTCTTGCTCGGAAGGAGAAATTTAATGAGTACTATCTTGAAATTAAAGCTGCTTCAGATATAAGTGAGTGTCTGGCTGACGAGACTGAACAAAACAATGTCCATTCAGAATCGATTCCATCTCTGTTGTTGATTCCAGAGTGAAGATTTGAGTCTTGAATCGATACTGTTGATGGGCACAGATGAGTGAATGGGAATCTTGTAACGCACAGATGTGTTGTTTGAGCCTCTACCGACCTTTGTATGGCTAGCTTAGTACTTGTGCGGGCACACAAAAAAGTACCATTAGCCTTTTTAATATGTCGATTGGAACATAATTGTAACACCCTAAAATACATTTTATATGTCAAGAAGCGTAGAATGGTAAAAGGTATTACGGTAGTTTACAGAACGACAAAAAAAATATTTTTTTTATACGTAGCTCGGATGGATATTTTAAAGTTTGACCAAAATTTGACTTTTAGTGAAATAATTCTTATGGTCTATCAGAGTTCATGGATGCAAATACCTCGTTAAAACGAATCTATTTGACTACTCATATGCCTTGTTTGAAGTTTGGATCAAAAAGATACAGCAGTTGTTGGAGTCAAAGGAGAGGGAAAAACATGAACAGTGAATTG